TTTTGTTAATTAAAACGATTCATTGACGATTATCTTAGAAATAACATCAAAATCGTCAACGAGATGTTGTTTTCAAACATCGCGGAAAAATATGCACTCTGCGCTGCCATCTTTGTTACCTCGATCGGAATTCCCCTTGTAACCCAGCATGCATTGGTCGAGATGTCACACCATGCGTTACGTCGCTTCAGTGGAGTTCCTCGGTAATGAGGCACTCGATGAATGAGGTATTTCTAGAGGTCAGGGTTCGTTTTTTCTTCAGCCCTTTCGTCTGCAGTTGAATAATTTTTGCTTCCATTTTTTTACGATTTTTTTTCCCCAATGCGACTTAATTTCACTTGTATTTTTTTAATTCTTGGTAATTAGTGTCATCGGCGATTGAGTAGTAAAAACCGCAATTAACTGCAGTGCAGCAAATCGGGATAGATCTTCCCGACGCAAAATTACTTTGCAGGCCCCGATCCCCTTGACAGACTTCCTGTAGACTTTCGTTTTATTACTGTTTTTGTAAGGCTAACAAAGGCGGGATTACCTTTCGATCAATACATGTTATTGTTTTAAAGATGTGCAAGACGAGGCTGACACTTGTAAACAATACAACAACTTAAGCATCGCTGACAGGATTTCAAGAATCGCGGACGAAATGAAAGCGACGCGGCTATTTGTCTAAGCGACGCAGGCCTGCAGTGCTTGAAAGGCCTGAGAAGAACACTGATACAGCCAACATCACCACTATATTTTTAGAAGCGCATATTAACCAAAAATCACATTGGTTGCACATTAAATCATTAAAATATTACTCAATAGTAAAAAAATCTTTGTAATTTACAGAAGTGTATGCACTAATAATAATAGAGCAAATATCACATATCACTTTATAGTACATATAACAGGGATTTGTTCAGATGTTAATACCATAGTTGTTCAGGTAAGCACCCATGCCCGACAAACGCCCACCTCCCAAATTTGATACAATAAAGAAATTGAGGCCATGTCCGGGTATATGCCCAGGGGTTCGTTTCCTACACTTGTAATAAAGAAACAAAAAAAACAAAACAATTTTTTGTTCATTGCATCAACAGTTGACTTTCTTGCAGTCTGTTGTGATTCTGATATAAATTCTTGAAAAATAAATGTCATAAACGGGGGTGAACGCGAAATACCCATGACAGCAAAATAGACAGTTTGGCGTTCTGCCATCGAGCAGCGCGTTCACCGCTGTTTACATAATTTACATTTACGTTTCTAGATTTTTTACCAGAATCATAACCATAACAGTCAGCAAGTCTACAAAAATGTATATATTAAAGTAGAAACGGTAGTTCTCTTTTTGAAATATGTCGTGGCCCTGAAAAGGGCCGTTTGGTTTGTGTTTCCTTAAAAACTATTCAAGCAAATCGTACAGTATCGAGAGCCACGAAGCAAGTGTCGCACTCGTTCAATTTTAGCGTCATCGACAATGAAACCAATGTTGCAATATTGTAACAACCCATACCTTGGAGAGTGGTTGAAAGCATGTTGTTTTGGCTATAAAATATTTGGTAGCAGCTTTTGTGAATTCATAACTGGGGCCAGCAATTTTACAATGTCACGCCGATGACTTGACCTCTATGATGAAACACTAGTAGTGATGTCATTCTTAGCCAATCAGTAAAGCATATGCTCAAAGGTCAAAGATGTTAGAGCAGAGTCGTTTGCAGGCAAACCCATTTTTCTTGTCTCTTTATGGTGATTAGACATGCCATGCAAAGGACAGTGAAGTCCGTGGATTAAAGTGCTAAGTCTAAATTGTGTGCGACGACATCAAAGAACTTCAGGACGAAGCTGTAGGGATTTTGTTCAAAGGCGACAGTGACGTCGACTTGGACTTCAAGGGTTTTCACTCTTACAAAAATGGCAATGATGTACAAATAGATATCTGAGAAGTTTTTACAAACAACTTTGAACTTTCGTAATTTTTACTACGTAAATTTTTAAATTATTATTGATCTTGTATGACTGTTGATACGGTAGTTTGACCCCTGACATTTTAGTTAATTTTGAGTTCACACGTAATGGGCGTTTTTGTCAGCGGAAAAATACTAATTCAAATGATTCCCCACTGTCGATTTTTTAGTATTTCTGGTTTATTTGTCACATTATAAGCAATAAACTATTTTTGTTATACTTATAATGTTGCATATTATTCATTTATTTCCGTTGCATGTTTTCATTTGCCATTCAATTTTCCTGAAATCAATTTCTTTTGCAGGGCAAAACACCAACCCCAATGTTTTGGCAATCTTCCAGGTTCAGGACCCTGGGCCTTATCCGGACAGCTATGGTATAATTATAAATGAATATTTTTATGGAAGTTACACTCTGAGATCATTCCTATAGTTTTATTTGGCTCCTATATAGAACTATGTGATATGATTAATGATTTTGCGTTAAGTGTGAGTAGTACGTACAGAACAGTAATTTTCAATGATTTACTGCAAGCTAAATTAAATTACTATTCAATACAACGTCTGTAACTTCCACAAATGTTCATATAAAATGTATCAGAACATCATGGCGGGAATTGCTTTGCATCAAGGGTATGCATACAATTGAAAACAGTCCACATCGAAGATAATGATAAAGATCTTGCCTTTGACTGATTCACAGATTCTAATCATTTTAACACTGTCAATTTTTATGTATGTAAATTATTTTGTAATGAAATGAGAGTATTTTTGTGCACATGTTTGTTACTTTAATGTAAAAGCATTGCGGCAATCAATGACGACAAAACACGTTTCGCATTAATTTTTCTCCAATATTCCTCTAAGCTGGCATGGTGAATGAAAGATGTAATTTGGATAACCTTTTGAGGGTGGTAACATGGTTACAAACGAAAATCATCTTTTCTGAAGTGGCCCTCAGATATATGATCACTCCATATTTTCCCAAATTTTACATGTTGA